GTATCACCAGCGCTGTGAAATTAAAAATGATTTATTTCCTTTAACGAGCTTCAAGTTTTTACTATCAAGTTATTTAATTATATTTAAATTCACTTTTCAGGTTGATATATTTCAATTGTCTGTCCTTGAAATTGAGGACAAACATTTACCCGTCGGATTTCCTATCGATACTCTTCCTCTGGCTGAGCATAAGAGTGTTGAATTCTCAATAAACGAAGGAGTATCATCTCCATCACTACCATCTACAGATAACAGTCATTTGTTTCATATTGAACGTTATATGGAGGGTGAATATCGTAAATATAATTCCAACTCTGGCTTTGTCACTGACGAATTACGAAACACTCCTCAGGTCAGTACTCAACCTATATGTAAACTTTCAAATTTTACCTATTTACTATATACGCACATTTTTATTTCATATAATAAATGACTTAATTTATTTTTCCTGTATTACGTTTACTCTTAATCTTTTACAGAGTTGTTAATTGTGGGTTTATAAGTATTCGTTTATTTATTCATAGTTGCTAGTACCTCAATGAATTAAGGCAAGATTCACCAAAGTGTTATATAGGAACGAAAAAATGTGCGTCTATATTAAGTTATCCATTATCTAAGTAGTACTTTATCATAATGCGACTTCATCACAAGCCTAGCTTTTCACTTTCAAACATCTTTTTAATTATATATTTACAAACACTAGGCGTTCAGTCACTTCACCTTCGAACGCTCGGGACATCGTCTTCTAGTAGTTGACATACAAGGTGTCGGTGACCTATATACAGACCCACAGATCCATACAGCTGATGGCGTTGGCTATAGCGACGGTAATCTAGGTCCACGAGGCATGGCTCTTTTCTTTCACAGCCACCGCTGCAACCCACTTTGCGAGTGGCTTGGTCTCACTTCATTTGATTTGGCTCCGTCTGAAAAAGCAGCTCAATTGACTCAATTGCAGCGTCAGCAGGCGGCACGAGTTTCATCTGCTGCCCCTGTCTCGTATGAGGCTTCGGGTGCAATGGCTCTTGATCCCATTTTCGCCACCAGGGGCGATGTTGTGGATCCTGTCTTCGATTCTGAAGACAAAGAAGTTGCTGACGAGGCAGTTTTTCTTTTGGCAAAAAAAACTGATCACTCAACTCCACTAATTGACAAATCTTTCGGACAATATGATGCTATTGACTCAGTAGGATCTCAAGAGGTTTGCCCTTTTCAATTTCAGTCTTTTTAAGAATTTATTACTATCTTGTTTCCAAGGCTCATCTTTGGTGCGGCGTTGTGCTGGAAATTTTTTAAACATTTGTTAATCATTAATATCTGCCTTGTTTTGTAGTTGATTTCTTTCTATCTGTTCGTTTTTTTCCTCTCTTTTGAGCGCTAATTTTGATTGAATTAAAATCGTCCTTGGCCACTGTTTATTAAAATTTACTCAATATTAATTATAGTTGGTAAAAAATAATCTATTAGATCATGAAATTTTGATCTAGGGTTCTACCTTGAATTGTTTTCTTTTCTCATTTACACTTACGTTCTCAATTGTTCAAGCAATTATTTATAAGCGTTCTTATTGGTATTATTAGTTTAATAGAATGATAATACCAATTTCTAAATAAATTGTGGGGCATTCTTAAGACATTTTGATTCTTATTAAATAATCTACAATTATCATTTAAATTCTCGATATTATTATTTTACATTATAAAATTATTTTAATTACATAATGATGATTTTCACCGCTATATCCATACTTCCATTTGTTTGCTTTAAAATAATTATCTCATTGTCTGTAATTGATGGAATTCAACTACCGGGATTCACCATTTCCTTAAAAATAATTATCCTAGACCGAAGATATGAAGACCAAGATGGTGTGGATTTTTGTATGACAACAGTCTACTTTCGCTGTCTTGAAGTTGTTTGACCTTGTTTTTGCAACTTGTTCATATTGGTAGAAAGACCTTGAGGAACGCAGTTAGTCCGGAGTTTACAGTATACATGATAATTACGAAAACAAATTCAAGCAGCAGCTATACAACATAAGCTAGTCTATAAATCGTTCATATTCCGCATTGTATGTGCTTTTATATTACTTCCCTCACCTCTTTCCTACATTACCTTATAGCCCATTAAAATCTTCATGTTTTGATTTTCTTCTTTTGTCTGACCGTAAGCGGACATGAAAATGCTAGTGGATAATTTTAGCTAAATTACCAAGAATTTTAATTTCAATTATTTGAAGCTCCAATAAATTATTCTCATACCTAAAACCTTTGCTATCCT